GTAGACACAGCAACACCCCAGGAGCAGAACACCATCGCCGCCGATCATCTCTTCAGGCCATTGCCCGTCGCCGACCATCTCCTCAAGCCGTCGCCGTCTCCGTCGGCGTCGCCCTACATGGTCAGAGCCGTCACCTCCCTGCTTCATCAATCAATTTCTCCTCCCTGCTACATCCATCAATCTAACCTCCTTGCTCCGACCGATCTCCGTCGATCCAGGTGCAACATCGACGAGACTCGATGTGTTCTTCACCGATTTTGGATCTAGGCCTACTCTTCGTCGATTCGAGTTGTTTCCTTACGTTTGGACGACAATTGTGAGGCTAGGGCTTCTCCAATGTGTGCGGGGTGCATTTAAAATTGGGTCGTGGTAGCCTAGGTTGGGGACCTTTGGCCGGTGGGGTGAGTTGGGTGGCGGCTGGAAGGGGGCTTGGGAGGATGGGGATGGATCTTGGGGCTAAAGCAGTGGGGGGTGGGGGTGAGTTGGGCAGCGGCTAGAAAAGAGGCAGGGTATGAGGGGCAGTGGCGGTGGCCTAGGGTTGAGATAGGGCTAGGAAGGCTGCTAGACAGGGGGTTGGGGTGGTGGCGGGCGGCAGTGAGGGATATATGGAACGCTGGAAAGGTCGCCGGAAAATTCTCTCGTGCTCAGTGACATGGACGGTGGTGATAGTGACAGGGACGAAGGTCACAGTGACACCGACGGTGGCCGCAGTGACACGGACGGTGGTCACAGTGACATATGACAGTGACATTAAAATTGGGTAGTGACATTGTTATCTGGTAGTGACACTGTTTTTCCAAATATATCACTTTTTTAGTCACTTTTTTGTCCTTTTATAAAAATGATCACATTTTTGGAAATTGGTTTTAATTTAGTAATATTGAAAGCAAAAACCCTATTTTAAACAAATTCATGATCCAAACTTTTAAATTTGACTAAGTATTTTTTTGAGATGAAGGTAGTATAAATATTTAGTCGGTATTATTTAGGGACGTGGAGAATCGTGTCATGCTCAATTGTCAGGCATGATACATTGATACACGTAAAATCTGATAATACTCCGTATCTTTTATGTGATGGCAGACGAGGCCATTTGAGCTTCTCCTCGTGTAAGTTTTTATTGAAATTGGTTAAGTATGTTCTCATTAATCTAGCGTATATCCATCAAATTTCAGTTAAAAATTCAATCGATAAAACAACTAAATAAATTATTTAAAAATGTGTGCTTTATTATTAGATGACAATTCCGATACCCATTTAAAAAATGGGGTATCGTACCTACCACTCACTTGATTGGTTCAAATCGTTACATCATTTTTAATTTAGATTTAAATAATTCAACTACATCATTCTTATTGGTCCATGTGGACAAATGTATGATACCTTAAGGGTACCATAAAATCTACCTTATTATTAATCACTTTTTTCACCACACACGAGAATTTTGATTTCGCGCACTGAATTGTGTAATAATAATAAAAAGTAACCTTGAAGTCACCTTTCTAGATGAATTGAGTGAATTCACAGTAGATGATCATTTTAGTTATTTTTCATATAAGTTTTTATTTATTTAATTAAAAATATATATTCTAAATATAATTTTTTTAATTAATCAACAGAATCAACCAATTTAACCTGTTAAAACCCGAGGTTTCATCCTAAAAGGTCAACCTGATAGGAGGAGGAACCCAAATCTTAATATAGCACTTTTTGCTTCACAATTTTCCAGTGTGGGACAATAACACTCCTCCTCACGATCAGACACTTCGTCTAGGTCGTGTCGTCATTTATTTTCATTAGTTCGTCATTGTAATTTTTTTTATAATTGTATCGTCATTTTTCATAGGGGGCCACATCATGGATCGATTTAGCTCTTATACCATATTAAGATCCGATGTTTCATCCTAAAAGGTCAACCTGATAGGAGGAGAAACCTAAATCTTAATATAACACTTTATTGCTTCACAATTTTCCGGTGTGGGACAATAACATAACCATTTCAGGAAAAAGTTCATAATTTTAGCTGAATTTGCAGCCAATGCAATCGATTTGGATAGTAACAAAACGAGCTCTATATTAACCTATATATAGCTTGTAATTGTATACAATTTTATTAAAAATAATTTTTTTTACCGCGTACATCTAATGTACTCTCCTACTTACATCGGTATAAATTTGTAAAGGAACGGTAAATCTACACCATTTAAAAGATCAACTTCTTAAAAACATAATACCGACTAGGGGTGAAGTATGATAGGAGCAATAAAAAACCTAGCTAACTGGTGTGAAGTAACTTCATAAGTTGATATAACTCACATAATTACCGACTAGGGGTGTAAACCGGTCCAAAATCAGACCGGGCCGGAGCCGGAATCACCAAAGTGGCAAAGTCATTGAATCGAAGACCTGCCCAACAGATCAGAATGTCACGGTATTGACCGAACCGAACCGGTATATATATATGGACCGTATTTTACTTTCATTTGTTTTTTAGAAAATTACCTTATTAGCTTGAAATTTCTATTATTTTTTTATGTTAATTTATGTATGATCGTTTCTCACTCAATTTTTTATATTAGAACGAAAAAACCTTTGATCCTAATGTGATCATATTAACTCACCGGTGGGCGTAGCTCAACTGGTAGCAAGGGAGTGACACAAGGATTAGGTCCCGGGTTCGAATCCCGACAACTGCGATGAGGGGTTACTATGCTAAAAATGCATAGGGCCTCTGCAAGTACCGAGGACAAAGTCCCACTCTCTATCTGTCAGATTAGGATTACAGTCCAATTTACATCCTTCCAATGTACCGTCCGGTCGAGGTTGGGGACCCTCAGGGATGGGGTGTCATCCTTTTTTTTTTATCATATGAACTCATTCCTAATATTTCTTATTTGAATGATAAGTTCAAGGAATAGTTTAACTCAGTAGCTTTACAGATTCAATAAAAAATAGCTCCATCAATCATGCAAGTATATATATTATCAATAGAAAAACATAAATAAAGTTAGTAAATAAAAGCATACACCTAGATTTTAATGCTTTAGGTTATAAGATTGTATGAATCTAAATATGTAAACAATACGCAAATTGAGTTAACCCGCAAAGTTTTTATTACTTTTTTTTGAAAAACAAATAACTTAATTGTTATTAATGAAGATGACAAGAAACATTACAATCATAAAGTTTAAGGCTACAATGGGATGAGACATAGAAACAGACGATTCTAATCGAAAACGTCGAATCACTAATCCCGTAAAGAAGTAGGCTCTACCTACAGATTGACTGCTCCTCCTACGATCACAATAATTATCAAAAGAACTCTTAAACATCCCGGTTTCTCCAGCCATCGGTAAGGAGCCAACTGTAGAATTTGTTCCGGTTTCACCAGCCACCGAAAAGAAAGCAATCAAAATGATCTCATCTTCCTGAACGGCGGTGGTTCAAGAGGGGGGTGATCCATCTCAATATCGGCGCAGAAGAAAATCATGTTTTTGATTGATGAAGAGATCAGTGCAAATCTCTTCTTAGCACACAAGAATGCCCGACCGATAGTGGCGGAGAATATGAATCTGACAGACGATATTTTGCTACCGAAAATAATACCTCCAAACAACGTTGGGAAAGAAACAAATGAATAAAACTAAAACACTGATTAAGAAAATGTTTTTCTATTATTGAAATCAAAGAAGATTGAAAGAAGAGAAGAAAAGAAGAGAAAAAGAGGCGCTGACGGCTAGGGTTTCTCCATGCCATTGCCGCTCCTCTCGCCTCTATTGTTATTGCTCTTCTTATTATTTGAAGTAAGTTTTTATATGTATGTATAGAATTACGTTCAAATGAGGAAATGATCTTAGAAGAATTTTGAGAATGAATCTGGATCGGTAGATTGTATTATGTGAAATTGAATGTGCATTAGATGAAAATGAAATGTGCATTATGTGAAATAGAAATGTGCAGCACAAAAGGTACGAAACAGTGACATTATGTGAAAGTTGAATTGTGCATTAGTTGAAAGTGAAATCTGCATTATGTGAATTTGAAATGTGCAGAATAAAAGCTATGATGCGGTGGCATTTTTGTGTCTTTGATCGGCACATCTCAATTTCACGTAATGCACATTTGAGTTTTATCTCGTGTTCTTCACATTTCAATTTCACCTCATGCACATTTCAATTTCACCAAATGCACAACTCGGTTTCATATAATACAATTTAACAGTATAGATTTATTCTCATTTTCTCATGAGAGTCCTTTCTCACGAGAACTGGGATAAATTTGATGTAACTCATGCTTTCGTTTTATCAGACTTCTCAATCAGCTATATTATTATATTAAAAAATGAATTTTAATTAGAAATTTTCATAATTAAACAGATTCAGTCAATTCAACAGATTCTAACTAGATGCAGCAGATTGGGCCTGTTTCAAATAAAACAACTCATTCCACAAATAAAGGAAGACACATCATCTTTGAGGGTCTTCAGAACCGATCAAACAATTGTCTAAGAGAAGTAAGTTGAGTTTTGATCACGCACTAATTTTAAAAGAGCGAAATTATTCTCAAATTATTGCTTGAAGTTGAATCCGGGATCTCTATCTTGTGGTGCCTCTCCTACCGGGTGAGCTACTCCTTTGTAACACCCCATTCCAAAAAAAGTGAATCAATGGAATGGTAACACCCCATTCCACAAAAACAAAAGGATGACACCCCATCCCTGAGGGCCTCCCAACCCTGACCGGACAATACGCTGGGAGCATGTAAATTGGACTATAATCTCAATCTGACAAATAGAGAGTGAGGCTCTGTCCCCGGTACTTGCAGAGGTCCTATGCATTTTTAGCATAGTAACCCCTAATCTCAGTTGACGGGATTCGAACCCGAGACCTAACACTTGTGTCACTCTCTTGCTACCGGTTAAGCTACACCCACCGGTACACCCCATTCCACAATCTTATATGAATCGGGGTGTTATGGTGTAGAGGCTATATATTAGACTTCTTGGATCAATGATGGCCCTTTGCAGCAATCAGATGTTGTGTGGCGTGCACTAGGTTAAGAATCAATCATCTACTTTTGTCTACTCTTTCAATTCGCTCCCATTGTTTCTTTTTGACTAGCCTACCATATCCCAAATTGTGGCCATATTTTCACACACTTTTTGTCCTCATCAACTTTATTTATGGTTTTATACCATACCCTGGCCTAAGCTTTTGTCAAAGCTAAGCCAGCCTATACATTCATTGTCCCATACGTAAGCAAAGGTAGTTTTTTTTTTTGAGAGTAATTAATTTACAGTTCTTGAAGGGATGAAGGAGGGGAGCTGCAAAGGAGTTTTGCCTCAAGGCGGAGAGTCATCTTCCTCATCGTGGTCTCCATGTGCAGCCTGCAAGCTTTTGAGGAGAAGATGCAGCCCAGACTGTGTTTTTGCTCCACACTTCCCAGGAGATCAGCCCCATAAGTTTGCCAATGTGCACAAAGTGTTTGGTGCTAGCAATATCAGCAAGATGTTACAGGTAACAACAGTATGGGTTTTGATTTTCTTGATCAGATTGAAATGTTCTTGATTCTTGAAGCTTTAACAGTTATTTTGGGTAAGAGGGAAGCAGAACTTGTTTTTTGACTTTAATGGAGTTCTTTTTTGGTAAAGCAAAACTTGTTTCATACAGATATGATTGTTCTATCTAGGTAAGTGAGAGAAAATTTTCTTGAACAGGATTGATTTAATAAATTGCTTTCTCAAACAAGCCAGCTCTGTTTTTTATTTCAAAATATGGGTAATCCATTTTTTGAAAGTTGTAACTATTTGTAAGTTTTTACTATGATTCATTTATTTAAAATAAACAATGATATTCTAATCAAATACGAAGTACGGAGTATCAATTACCTCCCATCATGTTTTATTCATGTACCAAACAAATTTCTACTCAATTGAAAATTATCTTCAGTTGGAGTTTCATCCCAAACGAATTAATAAAGGAGTACTCCATAATATATATTTCATCCGTTCTTTAATTCTTTCAACACTATGATTTTTGTGTTATTCACAAACTTTACTTTGACCATGATTTTCTACTGATATACATAATCAAATTATTACCTATAAAATGTTATTAAATTCCTATCAATGTGAATTTCCAAAATATCAAATTTTTATAACGTTTACTAATACATAATTAAATATAATTACAATCAAAGTTGTGTGTTGTCAAACATGAAAGTCAAACTGTTGCAAGAATTAAAGAAGGAAGTATAGTACTACAATCTTATACAAGTACAATCTTATAAACTACCTCAATACCTTACAAAAATTCGAATTATAAAAACGCACTTTAAGGCTATATATATTTAATGGTTCTTCTTTGAGTTGTTCAAATTCTCTTTTTAGCAAGAGTATCACTAGAATCATTATTAATTAAAAGTAGTAGAAGAAGTTGATAGGAATATTTTGGTCAAATAAGAAAAAAAAAACTCTATAGATTTATAGGACATTCAAGAAAAAGAATGTAAGTTCTATAAGACATTAACATCCAATTGGTATAAGCATTTATTCACCAAAATCTATCGTTTTTCTTTCTATATTTCCAACCTAGTGGCTAGTGCTTCTTTTTTACCTTCCCCCAAAACATAACAATTAACAAAAACCTAGCATAGATGGGTACAAAACGTGGAGGACCTTGAACACCTCATAGAAGAACAAATGCCACCACTTTCGACTCCTGAAGATAGTACGTGTATAGTGGTAGAGCACGTTTGGTAGCACGAAAATCGGCAGTTTTGGCTGATTCTGCTGAAATTTATGAAGTTCTGGTTGAAGTGGTTGTTTTGACTGATTCTGCTGATTCAAGAAAAAAATATTCTAAAAATATATTTTATTAATAAATTAAAGAAAAAATTACATGTAAAAATAGCTAAAATGGTCCTCTGCAGTAACTTCAGCCAATACAGCCAGAAAAGTAACCCCAACCTTACTTTTTCTGCTTATTACACAATTCAGCACACGAAAGTAAAAGTTACGTGTTTGGTGAAAAAGTTGGCTGATAAGCCTGATAAGCCGAAAAAAGAGGTCTCCAAACGGGCTCGTAGTTTACACTTTAAAGCAACTCCCCTCTTATTTCAATAAACAATCCTTCATACTCCCTCCGTCCCTTCAAACTTTGTCATCTTTTCTTTTTTGAACGTACCAAAAAACTTTGCCACTTTCCCTTTTAATCAATTAATTTGTGGTTTCTGTTATTTCTGTCTCCTCTGCACAAACCTCAACCACACAGTTTTTACTTTATATTTTTCGTGATGATCAACTTTGGCAAAGTTTTAAGGGACCGAGGTAGTATTATTTAGTTTGTGATGGTGAATTTTAATACATACTTCCTCCGTCTCTTTTTAGTTGCAACAGTCAACATTTCACGTTTACCAACGCATAACTTTGACCGTCATTATATTTAATTCTGTATTAGTAAAAATAAAATAAAAATCAGATTATAAAACTTAGTAATGAGACGAATTTAACAATATTTTTCAAAAAAATAATTCACATACATTAATAAATAAAATGTAGTCAAAGTAAAGTACATAAATAGTGTATATATTCCAATGTTGCAATTATTGCGATACGTAGGATAGTATGTAGTTTAGTATTTCATGTCGCAACGAATTTTTGATAGATCGAAAATTACACCAACATACCAAGTATCTCATCCGTCCCGCTAAGATTTTCTCATTTTACTTTTTCGATTCGTCCCACTAAGATTGTCTCATACCAAATTTGGTAAAGTTTGTTTGATTGTATATCATGTTTACTTTATCTTTACTTTATCAATTCAATACCAACTACATACAACACTTTTTATTGATTTACGTGTTACTCCCTCTTGTCCCGTTGTTAGTGCGACGGGGGGAGTATTACCTTAATATATGTATTACTTGATCGATTGGAAAAATAAACTACTATTCCCTCTATCTCAGAGAGAAACTTCTGATTCGATTTACGATGTTTGACTGTGCAACTTGATCCCTGTTCACACTCTAGTTATTTTTAATAAATAAAATTTATATATTAAGAAAACTACATTGAAATTTTTACAAAGGTTGATCAAGAAAATTTGAATTTGACAAAAATTGATATATAAAGCAAAAGATTAAAAATAATTTAAGTTAATCATGGGTTTGGAACCTTTGAATGGGAAGAAGAAAATACTCCCTATAAAATAAGGAGCATAACTTATGGTCATATATTTGTTAATGATTATTTTTGCCACAACTCTTTGGGTCCGGCTACAAAACCCTAACATAGATGAGGAGTCCCTAGTGTACACATATTTTGTGTACAGCCCTCCTATTGTCCGTTAACAAGGCAACTTTTAACGAAGTGTCCGTTTGGATAGACAATTAAGGTGTACATAAAATGTGTACAAAATATGTATAAGAACAGCATTCATGAACATAGATGGGTTTGAATTTCGGTATTTTTGCTCACACCAAATAAAATATTTCACCATAAAGACACAAACTATTAGGCTAATAATTGTGTAATTTGACTGAATGATCTTATCATTAGTTCATTATTAAGTATTTGTTGATTTTGAAGGAGTTGCCGGCGCACCAGAGGGAAGATGCGGTGTGCAGCATGGTATACGAAGCCAATGCCCGGGTCCGCGACCCGATTTATGGCTGCACGGGAGCCATTTCCTCTCTTCAACAGCAGCTCGATACGCTCCGGGCCCAATTGGCCATGGCCCAAGCAGAAATTGTACACTTACGGGTCCGCCAAGTTGCGGTGATGAGCTCAAGCCCACCAAATAGTGGGTCTCCCTCATCATTTGGTGTGGGCTCTCACCCTAATGGCTACTTTGAGTTGGAATCAGACGTCGTTGACCAGCCCAGCAACTTTTATTCGTAGCTGCTGGTCATATTCTATAAATTTTGCTGTCAAATTAATGGCAAAAACACTAGAGGATCAACTTAGGTGGCCTTTCCTTTCAGGGATGACTGCAAAAATTAATAACTATGTGCGACTTTCTCTAGAGTGTAATGTTGTTATCAATGAGTAAAAGCTAATACCCAAAATTAAAATAGTAATCCTCACATCCATTTCATTAGTCTCTTTTGAGAAGCATATGTTATGTTGGGTATTATTTTTGTTTGTGCATAGAATATCACTATGAAACCTTTGTGAATAGAATATCACCAAAAGTTAGCTATAAAATAAATAAAATTAAGGAAATTAAAATATATATCGACAACTTTCATCTTTCCGATCTTTGATTGATAATTAGCCTATATTTGATGTACTCGATCAATTAATAACAAATTTTTATTAAACATTCTACTTTTGATTTTGCGTGTTGAGTTGTATAATAATCAAAATAAGTAAAGGTGAATGTACTAGTTTGAGTTAATCAATTGAATTTATTGAAGAGAACACTTTTATTTTTCATATACGGAGTATATAATTTTTTTGAAAAATATATTTTAACTTGAATTTACTTATTTCATATAATTGTTTTGACTTAAATATATTTTTCACAAAATTTAATCAATTTCTCTATCTTTCCTCCTTGCATCCTCTTTCCACTTATCAATTCATTTGGGTGCATTTCTCGATCTTTTATACACTCAGTCAAACTACCACAATTGAGTCTTACATCTTATCTTCTAGGAATATCTTCTATTGGAAAATTAAAGTAGATAAATATAGTAAAATTACTCGTAAAAAACTTGAAAGAGTTACAATGATAAATCAGTAAAGCAAATTTAAAATTAACTATAATGGAACATATGTTTATCTCAAACAATCATGTACGGTGCTACATTAACCGAGTAAGGGTAGTTTACGCTACCAATAAATGATGTACTTCGTACAATATTTTAATAAAACAGTACACGATCTAATGCACATAGAAGATGGACACAATATGAGGGTACTAACCGATATTGATATTTGTAGGTTTTTTAGATAATGTTGTCAACCTTATTTGGATTGAATTGTGGCGAGAATATGTAGACAACCACTTTGTATTGAAGAAGTATCATGGTAACTTGTAAGTAGGGGAGAGCGTCGAACGGGTTCGAGTAGGACGGGTTGGGTTTTTGCATACCCTTTCGGTTATCGGGCTGAGAATATAAAACCCTACCCCGTCCAAAAAATATTTCGGGCTAATCGGATTGCACAATTTTGGATTTGGGTCGGTTTTAATCGGTTCTCGGGGCCATTCGGGCTGATTAAAATCCATTAAAAACATAACATGAATAATTCATAAAATCACCTTGAAAAAAAATTGTACAATTAAACTTTACAAACACAAATAAAATACATAATAATATGTTATCAAAAGCCATTGCAAAATTAGTAGAGTTTGTACAACTCCAAACACATGGCTAATATTGATAAGTTTATAACTTATACACTTATACACTCATACAGTCATACACATTACTCCAATACTACTTGGTACTTACTTATACACTTACACAGTTATACTGCTTATGCACAAAGCAGTTTAACATTTAGAGTTTGAGCAATCAAATGTTCCAAAACAGCAAGTACCAACAAAAAGTTTAACAACATTCAATTGATGTACAAGTCTTTAGATCTTGACTCTTGACATCTACTTGACTACTAGAGTGTTTCCAGAATTCCAGGTTTGATCAATTTCGCAGATCATCAATCAAACAGTCATTGATTTTGTTCCTATGTAAGTCACAAGCACATTAGTATCATAAAACATTAAACTGTACTCGGAACTTGGGAAGTGAGAACTATAAACAATTCAAGTATATAGAAATACAATAAGATTTGGCTCAGATTTAAAACTATCATCATGTATAATCTAATAAATCAGAAGTCGTAAATAAATATGCATAAGCAAATTCCAGTTTACTGTCTAAGTGGCAGCATGTATCTTGTTATATTTGGCTCAGATTTAAATTTACTTCACTATTAATGGGGGCATACGAAACTATATGAAAATAGAATCAACACCAACCCATAAATTTCATTTTTTGTGGAAGCTATCATCATTGCCAGAAGATACATGCTACACACAATCAATTAACTCAATGTTCACATTACCAAATTCGAGTACTTCCATTAAGGCAGCATGTATGTTGTTATATTTGGCTCAAATTTAAATTGACTTCACTATTAATGGGGGCATACGAAACTATATGGAAATAGAATCAACACCAACCCATCAATTTTATTTTTGGTGGAAGCTATCATCATTGCGAGATACATGCTACACTTAATCAATTAACTCAAGAGTGAAAGAAGATTACCATGTCTTGTTGTACAAAGTACAAACACAATAATTAGGAGAAATTGTACCAGTGAATCAGCAACACTTCCAATACCATGACAGCAACATGGTTAGGCTTGTACGATCAGATCATTGACAGAAGCATAGCAAATCATTAGTGAAATAATATATTCCCTCCGTCTCTTAAAACTTTGTCAAGTTTGACCGGTACGAGGATTAATAAAGTAAAAATTGTGTGGTTGAGGTTTGTGCAGGGGAGAGAGAATTAACTAGAAGCACAAATTCTTTACTTAAATGGGAAACTGGCAAAGTTAGTGGGACATCCAAAAAAGGAAAGTTGGCAAAGTTTTAAGGCACGGAGGTAGTATTACATATCTAAAAGATAAAGGTAAAAAGTATACTACTATCTGATCAAGAGAAGGGTCTCCACCAACATTGCCATCAGTTAATTCTACATTGAAAACAATAAGAAGTTAACAATATGTATAAATATAAACACTGAATATTAAATAAGTAAAAGTTAGTACCTGTTTCCAGCCTTTCTACCACCTCAATATTTTCTTCAACTGACACGGGCTGGTTTGACATCCTCAACCAATCTTGAGCACATATGAGTGCTTCTACAATTTTGGCACTCAAAGAACTCCTAAAACAGTCCAACACTCTTCCACTTGTACTAAAAGTGGATTCAGATGCTACTGTGGAAATAGGAACAACAAGAATGTCTCTTGCCATCTTAGATAGGATAGGAAGCCTCTCACCATTAAGCTTCCACCATCTCAGTATATCAAATTCATTGTCCTTCTCAAGAATGTTCTCACTCAAATATAGTTCAAGTTCATTTTTTTCAACCCTAAGAGGCCACTATCTTGTTTTTTTCAATTGGGCTTTGAATTTTGAGACAGGCCTACTTTCAGTTGACTCAGATTGTAAAGAAACAGAACCGGGGGTTAATTGAGAGCTTCCACTCACTGAAACGTCATAGTTTGTAACATAATCACCATACAACTCATTCAAAACCAGCTTTATCATTGCAAAGAATGTCTCACCTATCTTATCCCCATACAAAGCATTCAATTGATGTGACATGTACTCATATTTGTCTCTAGGGTCAAAAAACTCAATAATGAAAGCTTCCAAATTGAACACAATATCATACATTGAAACTAAAGTCTAGAACAATCTGCAAACTAATCTACAAAAGGATATAAGCAGTAGGCTTATTCACTTCTCTACAGACTTAGAAGATACCAGTTCACTCTAACTACTCATTTGAGTGTTAGAGTAGAAAAAGGCAACTTCAACACTTGTCAAAAGACACAAAACTCATAATAAATCAACCATCATCTTTACTCAGGGGCCATTTATATAATAATCTCAGAATCACACATGCATCATTGAGGCAGCACATATTCAGAGGCCATTTATATCAAAATCTCAGAATCATAGATTCATATAATCATATGCATGACCAAAGCATCACAGATTAACAAGTAGTTCATAGAAAGGGTATCAGGGTCCGAATCTAGGGTTTCAAGCTTCCACCAAACACATAAGAGTGCATAAAAATAATACAACTAATTCATATACAAAACAGATAACACATCACACTTAGGGATCATGCTTCCACCAAATCACCAAGCATACAATTTAGGTATTTAACGTTTACCTCAGTAAAAATTAAAATTATCGAATGGGTTGCAAGCTTCCACGAATTCACAAGACCACAAGAGTAGAAGACCACTATGCCTTGCAAACTTCGTAACTTCGTAAGCCCGATACGAAGAGGCAATGAAATCGGAGTACAAGCTTCCACCGGAGTCCGGAGGTACAAATAGACTACAAAGGTCGGACCTACGATGGAGAGTTGACAGGGATGGTTAGAGAGAAGTCGCAGACTCGCAGTAGGAGAGACCGAGAGAGTTAGAGATTGAGAGAGGGAGTTGAGAATGAAGAGTGGAGGCGCTGGAGTGTTAGGGTTAGGGTTAGGGTTAAATAATTCGTATATATAGTATGGGTAGTTCGGGTTTTCGGGCGGGTTGGGTAGGGATTTATAATACCCTACCCGTAACCCGTAACCCTTAAAACATGGGTTGGGCTTTTCGGTTCGGGTTTTCGGGTTCGGGTCAACCGACCCAATCGGCTATAAGAGGGCAGACCCGATCAGGTTTTCGGGTGGGTTCGGGTTATGCTCACCCCTACTTGTAAGGCACAAACTTTTATTTCATTTCCTTACTAGAAAAGACCAGATTTAAAAACATCGAGCCAGATTTAAATAGATTAGATCAGAGTTCGATATTCATATAATATATTGAGATCAGACATTTATCACATCAAATCAAAACAGTTCACACTAAACCATATCAGACTTAGGATGTTTTTACTTGGACTCACATTTGATGGTCTGCTTTGGTATGTTTAAGTCTGATCTGGTAAATGTCTGATCTTTGTGTATTTTATATAAATGGAAGTTTGATCTGATCTGGTCTGATTAGTTTAAGTCTGGTCTGGTCTAGGGCTGAAAACAGTCCAATTAAAAACATCATTAAACCTGAGACCATAAAATTTTAATTCAATTAAACATCCTAAGTTGTGGATATGTTAGAAGAATTGGACTGGGCGGGTCAACCCGAAAACCGGAAACCCGACATCTAACCCGATCTGGTTGTATATAAGTCCAAAAATGGAGGTAAACTGGAATTACTTGTTGCCCTGGGACGGAACAAAAATGGCCCAAACATGGGAAACATGGATATTTAAGGGAAAATGGGTCGGCCTATACCAAAAAAATTGATGAAAATTACCCGTATGGTCCATTTTTGTGTGCCAAAT